CCAAACTAATTTGAACTTTCAATCAAAATATGAATTGACTGAAAAAATCATTCATTTTAAATAATAATAATTCTTTTCAGTAAAATATAATAATAGTTTTTTTTTCAGTACCGAATTACGCTGAATTTTCAATTCACTAAAAATTCAATGATTAATTTACCAGAATTTTCCTGAGTTCTATCAATTTTCATGGAATAATTGAACTAAAATGTACAGTTTCCACTGATTTATCCCTCAAATTTTCAATCTTCAATGATGAAATTCCTCGAAATTTCGTGCGGAGAGAATGATTCATTCAAATCTTATGATTCATTCATCGAGACAAAAGATTATGCTCGAAAGAGTCGGGAGAAAGTTCAATTTTCACGCGTTACGATTGATTGAAGTTACATGTTTCGCAACGTAATGAAATACACTGTCTCTCGTTATCTTGAGTTTTCACTTTTTAAACAGCACAACAAATAATGTTAATGCACTTAACGACATTATGTTTAACACCAAAAATTTCCACCGGTAGCGAGGAAAGTGCAGTGAGCGGTAGATGCACTTGTCGCGGATTACAATAGAATTGTCATCATAATCCGGTTGAAACCGTACGCCAATACCAGAGATGACGAGTGAAAATGAAACAACTTCAACTTACATACGATTTCCCACAATGATGTTAACACTGCGATTTAACGCGAAGTGTGAAAAACGATTGCAAGTAATTGAACTCTTGAAAACTAGATCGATATTGAAAGTTCACAGACACTCGGAGTATTTGTCCTTTGGAATGGAAACGGCCAATCAATTAATAAAACCGCGTGATACATACCGAGTGATACTCAATTTCCCAGAAATTGCCGTTGCCATTGACTCTATTTGCCACGAGTTCGTTATCTTCTGTGATCTGTGCTTGGTTCCCATACATTTTTCATTTTTTTTATCTCCTCAATTAAACTGAAACGATGTTTACTACATCATTTACGTAAGGATATCGTTTTTCGAGATGCTATCGACAGAGAACTCTTCCGTTGGAAATGTCCCCCAGTTGTGTGGAAAAATCACTGCGGAGTATTTGAAGCGAAGAATTTCCCGAAGAAGTGAAATTTTACAGAAACTTCCCGACTTATTATACCTGCAAAATCAAAAAGTCTTGAACGTTCAGCAACTTTTATGAAGCTGGTGAGTTATTTCTACGTTCCATTCCGTAAAATTTCTCAGTCGTTGGGGCAAAATTACAGAGTAACAGTGAAATAAAATCAGTAGCGAAGTGGTAAAACGGTTTAATTCGACTCATCTCCCAGTTCAGTTTTTGAGGAATATTTCCGAATCTAAGGGAGATGGCGAAATTTTCGTAATTACATTTGTTGTAATTTGTTCAAATTCGAAAGCATCTCCGAGCCTCGCCATGTCCCCGCACCCAGCACCGACCGCCGAAAATCGTAATTAAGAATTTAAAAAAAGAAGAGTTCCTGACTCCCCCTGATTAACATCCCTGGTGGGGATCGAACCCACGACCTTTGGATTAGAAGTCCAACGCGCTATCCTCTGCGCCACAGGGACAAGATGTTCGTGCTGTGCAGAAATCGTTATACGAACTGAGGCGCGACATAAACGCCAACAAATCCAGATGGCGACTGCGTCCACGAGGTGAATCTTCTCACGGCCAGTGGAACACCGCTGTCACCGCACTAATCCCAACACCTCCCCCCCAATAATCCCAATCAAATCCTCATTTACCCCCTCGCATTTAATTATATTAATTCCCCTGAGACGACTAGTACTAAAAAACAATGACCCCAAATGAAAAAAATCCCGCGTGAAAAAACTTTTTGGCGGGTATTGAGTCGCCCCTCGACGACAGCGCCAACGATTCACGTGCAGTTGCTACGTCCCTGTGTATTACATTCGCGTAGTCAACACAACGGCATCGCAACGAACAAGCTAGATGGCAATAATAAATAAATAAATAAAAACACAGTATAAAATAAAATAGAAATCCAACAAATGCCGGTATTAAACATCGACAAAAGCGTTCCGCCGTCAAGTGCAGTGTGATAATGCCCTTGTCACCGATAAATCGATGGAGTAATTACAAAAATTGAGTGGTGGTAATACGAAATAAAGATTCGGTGACATCGGGCCGAATAAATCCGCGTAATAGTTCAGTATTAAAATAGTGCTGATGTCGCTGACACCGAGGAATAATAAGCGCACGTAATAGCGAGTGGTGGATTGTGATAAAAATCGTGAGGTATCGGTGGTAGAACGGTTATTACATTTGTTTCCTCGTGCCCTGGAGCAAGATGGCCGCTCACGATCATATGACGTTGAAGCGTGTAATACTATTGACAAAGATGGTGAGAAGTATGCGGTCGACAGGCCGCTACAAGTGGAACTGTCGACAGCACTGACTGAAAATTGTCTGGTGAGGGTGGCGGGTAAACAGGAAGGGGCCAGGCCAAAGGGGCCAAGCACACGGGTCACTGATACTCGTGATGCATATGATCACTCTGCGTGGAGAAATGATCATAATTATTCGCATATTATGGATATGCATGCCGTTGAAAAAAATGACAAAACGGCAATGCGTTGCGATGCTTGCGACCAATTTGTGAATAATATCAATAGTAGTAATGTTAATAATGTCAATGATATTGAGACTATTGTTTGCACGAGTTGTGTCAGCGTAGCGCAGACAGTACATTCACCGTCCAGTTCTTTGTCATCATCAACGGACTCACAACCACCAACCCCACCACCAAGACAGAGCTCAAATGATCCGTTGTCAACGAGGGATTATGTTTATTTTGATACAGTCGATAGTGGCAATGGACAGAACAACGAACGCACTTCCTTCCCTGTTACTGGGTAATTTTTAGCAAATTTTTTCGAGCATAACTTTGTCCCAGAAATAATTATTCAATTGTCAAATGATTAAATTGTCTTGCGCGTCAAATGTCTCACGTGATATGAATGAAAGTAATTCTTTGAAATCGGGATCTTTATAAGTTTTATAATAGTTTGGATTTATTATGAACGAATTTATGGAAGAACCATTTTATTTTGATATAGGCGATAGTGCCAATGGACAAAATAACAAACGCACTCCCTTCCCTGTTACTGGGTAATTTTTGGCCAATTTTTTCGAGCATAACTTTGTCCCAGAAATAATTATTCAATTGTCAAATGATTAAATTGTCTTGAGGGTCAAATATCTCACGTGATATGAATGAAAGTAATTCTTTGAAATCGGGATCTTTATAAGTTTTATAATAGTTTGGATTTATTATGAACGAATTTATGGAAGAACCATTTTATTTTGATATAGGCGATAGTGCCAATGGACAAAATAACAAACGCACTCCCTTCCCTGTTACTGGGTAATTTTTGGCCAATTTTTTCGAGCATAACTTTGTCCCAGAAATAATTATTCAATTGTCAAATGATTAAATTGTCTTGAGGGTCAAATATCTCACGTGATATGAATGAAAGTAATTCTTTGAAATCGGGATCTTTATAAGTTTTATAATAGTTTGGATTTATTATGAACGAATTTATGGAAGAACCATTTTATTTTGATATAGGCGATAGTGCCCATGGACAAAATAACAAACGCACTTTTTTCCCTGTTACTGGGTAATTTTTATCAAAATTGTTGTATTAATAATTAGGATGAATCATGTGTTACGCTCAGTTGAGCATAACTTTATCGCGAGAATAATTAGCTAATTATGGAATAATTAAATGATAGGATAACATCCTCTTGAGGCGTCAAATGTCTCAAATCATATAAAATGAAATATTTCTTTGAAAAACAAAAATTTTCTGAATTTAAATATTTATTTTCTTGAATTTTCTAGGATGGAATATCAGAAACTGTTAATCAAAGAAATACTAAATCCCCAAAATCTTCAAAAAATATCTTAATTGAAAAAAAAAATTGTTAAATTTCTGCAGATCTTGAGTTATTGATGATCAAAACGGTCCATTTGCCCCCTCCCTCCGAGAGAGTCTGTACTTCACGAATTTATGGGAGAAAAATTTTCGTTTCTTTTTAAAATCGAAAAAAGTCCTTTGACAATCACGTATTCACCCAGACGACCATTCATCCGAAAATGGTTGACCCTTATGACCCTTAGACTGCAAATAGTCGAATATTATGGATAATCTGGAGAACTTGTCGAGCCCAGAAAGACATCCAAAAAAATCGTAGAATTCCCCTCCCTGAATCCCGCCAGCCACTCTAACAAGCCACTCGGAATTTTTCAGTGCGAAGATAAACGAAGCAGTATCATCCCTTCACCACGTAAAAAATCACCGTCGTGGCTCATGGTCAGACGCCCCAAGCAAGCGTAACTGTCCAAAGAGATCGCCCTCCCTGCCCCTCCTAGTAACCCGATGGACTTGCATCCGTTGCTTACAAACAAATTGCTGCAGTGCAACTCCCATCTGCACAGCTTGCGGTGCAAGTTCAACAATAGCACAAACAAATGGTAATCTCATAGGTGTAAGACGTGGAAAGAGATTGAAGGCCCTGAAACTGAGCAACAAACAAGATCCAAAAGCTGATCTTGTTGCTACAGTGGCATGCGGCCTAGTGTCACGTGTACTAGACATTGGCTGCGCTAATCTCGGCTCAGCAGCTGTACTGGACCGAGATCTGGGTATGGCACAATTGAGTGGTTTTAATCGAGGTGACAGAGTACAAACACACCGCGAAGATTGGCAATTGGTGCAAGTTGATACGATGGAACCAGGTGTACTATCATTCGGTGATACATCTGATTCATCGCAACGTTCACCAAAACGTCAAAGTCCCTCGGTTTACGAGCGCGTCAAGTCCAAGGTGAGTCGGTCACTATCAAACGGCTCAGTTGTTCAAAAAATCACTGGCGACAGCCACGACATACAGCGACCAACAAGCCTGATTGTCTCTGAGACACACAATAGTACAGACGACACACTATGGAGCTGTGATAATTGCACACTTGACAATGCACCTGAATTGGAGCAGTGCGAGGCGTGTGAAGCACCAAGAAGTCCAGCGCCATGCAGTGGTGTTGTAATAAGTGTACCCTCTTGGGAGCCACGTCCACTCTCATCAGCCGGTCCATTATCATACAGACGCTCATTCTCAGAAGTCGAGAGTGTCGCGAGTTCAATGCAAAAAAAATCGGTCAATCGACGTAGTTTGAATGATAATGAACCACCAGCTGTACCGCCTCACTCTGTTGGTTTTAATTCTAGGCCTAAGTACTCGTACATTGGTATTAGTGACCCCGATACTCCACCACCATTGCCGAAGAAACAGAGCAGTAAATTGGCACTAAATGTAACACGTGCACACAGTGAATCAACGAGTCCTGTTGATACACCTGGTACAAGTCCTCTTAAACGCATGTGGACATGTCGAAAGTGTTCATACGCTTACAATCCACTGTGGTCAACTGGTTGTGATATATGCAGTTCATTGAGAACACCACCATCATTACTGCAGCCTAGTTTGATAACTGTTACAAAGGACGGTGTAAGTGGACGTAGTAAAGTTCAATCACCCATTGTCGTGTCGAGAGACAGTGTTAGATATATACCGCGAGCAACCCTGGCTACCGCTGAGTCTGATCTTGATGATCAGATTGAAGTGCCAACGCCAGCATGGACGTGCAGAAAGTGCACTTTATTGAATCCATCAACGAGAACAACGTGCGAAGCTTGTGGTGGTTCAAAGCTCAGAAGTGTCACTCACTTGGAAGATCCAACACTGAGAAAAGGTGAAAGCTGGGTATGTCCATCGTGCACTCTGAGAAATCCCTTGACCGCCCAGAATTGCAATGCCTGCAAGACAATGGCTGACTTTCTGGAGGTACCACGTGACAATCGAACCCCATCAGCACAGCGCAGTTCCAGTCCCAGATTATCTGGTGGAATTGCCAATGTCAAAGTGGCAACACCGAGACACAGTAGAAATTCAGTGAGACGAAATGGACCAACGTCACTTGGTGATAAGAGGCACTCTAGGGTCAAAGAACCGGGGCAAACCCAGTGGCAGTGTAAACTCTGCACCTACGAGAACAAAAGCACAAATGGTACCTGCGAGATGTGCCAAAGCTCCAAGACACTGTCCCAAACACCTGGGGACAGGCTGCGGCTCAGTGAGCCTGGAGCTAGTACTCTCAGAATACAACGACAGGAGAGCGTTGTGATGGAGAATCTGAGGCACATTGAGGAGCGGGAGGCATTGGAGAAGTGGGAGAGAATAGTTCGTTACTGCAAGGAAACTAATGAACCATTTGTCGATGATTCGTTTCCACCAGCGCCCAAATCACTGTACTATAACCCTGCCGATACGAAAGACAACCACGTGGTTCAATGGAGAAGACCACACCAGATCAATGTCGACTCTAGTGTAGATTCTAAACTGCCTTGGGCGGTCTTCAGAACGCCATTACCATCGGATATATCGCAGGGTGTCTTGGGTAATTGCTGGCTGTTGTCGGCATTAGCTGTTTTGGCTGAGAGTGATGAGCTTGTCAAGAGGGTTTTGGTCATGAGGGAGACGTGTCCCGAGGGTGCTTATCAGGTTAGATTGTGCAAGGACGGCAAATGGACAACTGTTCTCGTTGATGATCTTCTGCCGTGTGACAAGAGGGGTCATCTTGTCTATTCTCAAGCGAAGAGAAAACAGCTGTGGGTGCCGCTCATTGAGAAGGCTGTCGCCAAGATTCATGGTTGCTACGAGGCATTGGTCTCGGGTAGAGCTATTGAAGGACTTGCTACGTTAACTGGCGCCCCTTGCGAAAGTGTGCCTTTACAGCCCTCAGCACTGCCGAGCGAAGACGAACTCGATAAGGATCTCATTTGGGCACAATTGCTTTCTTCGAGACAAGCTATGTTTCTGATGGGCGCCAGTTGTGGGGGTGGAAATATGAAGGTCGATGAGGAGGAGTACCAGAGGAAGGGACTGAGACCGAGACATGCGTACTCAGTTCTTGATGTTCGTGATGTTCAGGGGATTAGACTCCTCAGGCTGAGGAATCCTTGGGGCCATTACAGCTGGAAGGGGGATTGGTCGGATGACAGTCCCATATGGACACCTCAGTTGAGGGAGATGTTGATGCCTCATGGGGCCTCTGACGGAGTCTTCTGGATATCTTTTGATGATGTCCTCAAATACTTCGACTGCATCGACATCTGTAAGACTAGGGTTGGCTGGAGCGAAGTCAGGCTTCGAGGGACTCTGCCTCCGTTGTCGTCGTTGAGACATCTTTCGTGTGTTCTTTTGACTGTTCTTGAACCCACGGAAACGGAGTTCACGCTGTTTCAGGAGGGCCAGAGGAACTCGGAGAAGTCTCAACGATCGCAACTGGATCTTTGTGTTGTTGTATTTAGGACTAGATCACCAGCTGCACCTGAGGTGGGACGACTTGTGGAACATAGTAAACGACAGGTTCGGGGATTTGTTGGGTGTCATAAGATGCTGGAGAGGGATTTGTATATTGTTGTTTGTTTGGCGTTCAATCATTGGCACACCGGGATGGAGGATACATCTAGCTATCCTGAGTATGTTCTTGCTATTCATAGTTCAAAACGATTGCTGGTGGAACAGATATCTCCACCTGCTTTTGTGCTTGCTGATGCTATTATCAGTCTGACGTTGGCCAAGGGACAACGCCACGAGGTGAGTTTTGATCATTTTTTCAAGATAAGTTTGAGTTTTAACGATTTTTTAAAATGCGGAATTCCCGATCGAATCGGCCAAAAACTAATGGAATTTTTAATAAAGGTGTGATGGAAATTCGCTAGGTTTTTCTATTAATTTTTTTGTGTGTGAATTTATTATTGAATGTTTAACGATTGCGTTCAAAGAAAAACGCTGAGAAGCCTTTTTGTAGCGCATTAAATTCCCGACAAAAAATCTCTCTTATGAATAACGCTAAGCTTCTTCCTTTGAAATTGATTCCCTCAGTAATTTTTCTATCGATATTGAAGTCGGAAAATGTCTTGACCGTCAATTGAAAAAGGTCTTGCTACTCATTAAGAGACCCCACGTCGATCGTCGTCATTCCATTTTTATTAACCGCCAATTAACCCTCGTAAACGTTTATTTATGTAGTTCTAGAGATTAACTGAAACGGGCTGAAGATAAATAACGAATGATACAACAGACAACGTCAACATAAGATGCAAGCATATTCATTACGATAGAATCGTCAATGTTATCATATTATCTGAGAGCTATGTGGGCTTCATAGAGGGTAAATGCATTAAACTGATGTTTGATTTTTTTCTCCACGCAGGGGAGAGAAGGCATGACAGCCTACTATTTGACCAAAGGATGGGCAGGGTTAGTTGTGATGGTTGAGAATCGTCACGTCAATAAATGGATTCACGTTAAATGCGATTGTCATGAGAGCTACAATGTTGTCTCGACGAGGGGTCAATTGCGCACTGCCGATAGTGTTCCACCGTTGCATCGGTAAATTAATAGTTTTTATCTCGATTTTTCTCTTCGGTTTCGTTGTACCTATTATAGAGGAGAAGACGTATCTCAACGGGGAGGAATTGAACACGTTGTAAAACATTCAGAATTATTCTGTTTCCGAATGAAAGCTTATGTACACATGAGAAATTTTCTTATAAGGAATCAATCGAATTTCATGATTTTTTTCATGAATATAGATTTTAATAAGCTCTATTCATTGACACCAATTAAAATTAAATTTTTCTGAACATTTTTTTTAAACAATTGAAGAATTAAAAACCAGTCGATAATTTCGCAGATTATTATGAATCACCAATTCAATTAATTGAAATTGAAATACGATTGAATGAAATTTGTTCATCATTTGGTAAAAATACAAGAATTTTTTGGTAAAATGAACAGTCGATGGATAAAAAATAATAATTCAATCTGTATTTAACTGGAATCATATTGAGATACGTCTTTTACCCAGGATTTAGGGAGGAATGTCAAGAGATATTTTTCAGCGGAAGAAATCCTCTGGAAAAATATCTTTTACCATTCTCTCGGAAACTTTGAAACTGTGAAAAAACCTGAGGAATAATTCTCGAATAATTCCTTCGACTAAAATTCATTATTCTCATTTCAGACAAGTAATAATTGTGTTGACACAACTCGAAGGTAGCGGTGGCTTCTCCATAGCTCATCGTCTAACACACAGATTAGCAAATAGTGGTAACTTACATGACTGGGGCCCACCAGATACTCAGCATTGTCCACCAATTGATACTCAGGTCGAAGGATTGCACAGCCCTCGACTGATCACGTGAATTGCAACACTTCTGTGCAGCGGTATTTCGAAGGAACTGAAAAAAATACAGGAGATATTGAGATATGGGAGAATTAAATGCTGTGAAAATAAACTCATGATCTTCTTTCGTTATTGTAATTAAATGATACTGTATGATTCAATGTGATGAAAAAATCCATGACAAAGAGATATTTAGACGTGGATGAAGGTGATAGTTCAATAAAAATTTCTTGGTTTTTTTAAATTACCAGTGAAACTCGATTATTCCGTAAGTTAAAGTAACAATTGGATTGGGAAGGAGTTATTTACGTTCGTTAAAAAAAAGTTCATGATGATCAGTAATTGAGAAGTGACAAATCCAACAATTTTTGCTTGAATATTATAAGAAAAAAAATGAAAACAAATTATTTTCTCAACGTAACGTTTAAGTGTCGTAAAGAATGAATGTCGAGACTTCATGAGAAAGCATAAGAAAATTTACTGTGAAGAGTTTGCAATTAATCGTCTTAAAAATGGACCACTTTGGTTCAAATTTCCATAATTTCCCGAATTTTTCCGTTGATTTGTCGATTGAAGTATTGAATAAGTATTTTATATTGTGGCTTACGATCAATTGTTTCTCTTAAAATTTGTTATTAAATTAATTTGATGTAAGGTGAATGCATTTAATGACAGTGCTACGATACCAAAGATAATATTTGCTGAAATAATGGTGATCATGTTCGATTTTTACACAATTTACTGTAATTGAACCTAGATATGTTTCATTGCAATTATTGAATTTCATGGATGATATTGAAGTTGAATACAACATGACATTAATTATTGCTGAGAGAACGTGATTGCAGTTGCCGATGGCATAGATCACTCTGGGAGTTCATTAAATCCTTCAATTCATCTAGGAATCAAGTGATCATGGAAATGATAATAATAGTTTGGCTAAGGGTTCTGTCATTGTCTTCAATTACGAGAGAATTGTATTATTTTTATTAAGTCGTCGCACTGATTTCGTATTGTTCTTTTATACAAATGCATTCGTAGCACAAATGATATTTAATAAAGAATATAATTTTGTTATTTGATAATGGTGAAGATTATATTTGCGCATTTATGATTATTCGGTTTGTATTTGTTCAACGCACAAAATGAGCTGTATTTGAAGATTTTGGGGTTGATTGTTCGAATTTTTTGGTGAAGTTGTGACACTTACTGAATAACATAGGAGATTTACTCGATGATGAGGGAATTTATGACGACAAGACCAGAGATTTTTTTTCGGGTGAAGAAAAATTCTCTGGAAAAAGTCTGTTGGCTTTTCCCAATGGATTAATTCTATTGAGCTTCATAATCTCGTAACTAAATTGTTGTATGGGTGTTGTTGAGTACATTTTTTGCATAATGTTAAAAAGGAATCGATGGTATTTTACATGATTTTAATTAAATGAGTTGCATTCGAAAAATTTAGTGTTTAGAGTGAGAATTCTTCAATATAAAATTTAAAAAAATATAAAATTGACGTGATAATGTGTAGATTTCTGAGAAAATGTCAAAAGATCTTTTTTGTAGCTGAGGAAATTCTTTACGAAAAGTTCGATCAACATTTTTCTTTAAAACCCCTCGTGATGAAAATAAAAAAACTAACAAGCCTGAGTAATCGATTCCTTCAATTGAGTTATACGACTTCATCACTGAATTGTTCTACATGTATTATTGAGTGAGTTTTTTGCATAATTTTAAAAAGACCTTAATAACTTTCCAAAAATATTCTAGGTGAATTTAATAAAATGAGTTGTGCTCGCTAAATTTGGTGTTTAGTATTCGAATCCTGTATTGGAGTTGTAAAAGTCAGTAAATAAACTGCGAAATTAACCCGACAATGAGTGAATTTATGAGAAAAAGCCAAAAGATTTCTTTTGCTACTGAAGAGATTTTATACAAAAAGTTCTCCGAATATTTTTCTCCGAAATTCCTTGCCATCGAGATAATTAAACAATTACCAATTAATTACACCCACTGAGTTTTACGACTTCACTGAATTGTTCTATGAATGTTGAGTGATTTTTTCAGCATAATCTTGAAAATAATTCTGCCTCTGTTGTCACTCCATTACACCTCTTCATTTATTAAATTTTAAAAATTAACAAATTTAAGATGAATCTCAAGATGAAAAATCATGAAAAATTAAATCGCATGATATTGATAAATCGTGTGCTGTGAGATATGTCGAACAATTGCGTAGTTAATAACCCTGGCTAAACAAACGTCAAACTGCCATATTCTGCGACCCAAGGCAATGGTGCAAGTGGCGTAAGGTGATTGAAATTTTTGAATGTTCAAGACGAAGCAGAAAATTGTTTGGGAGACAATACCTTAATAAAGAACAACTGTGATGGTTTTCTGATCGAAGGAGAGTGACTCCCGGTTCAAATAAAACCATTTTACCACTGAAGATGACAGTGAACATGAAAAAAACGATCTTATCCTCTTGATTTCGACCCTGTCCTGGAGAACACACGAGGACGCATGCCTCTATCATTTAAAAAATTGTAAACCTGTGGAATATCAATTGATACTGTGTCACGAGCGAGAACATTCTCAATTCCAACGTGATATTTTTCAATAAACCGAAAATTTCACCTCAATTGTGTTCTCGTCAACATTTTATTCGACAAATGCAATAAATTCATCATTTCAGTTCGAGTAGTGGCTAGTCTAGCTGCAGGGACAAATAAAAATTGAAGAGTAAAACCGTTCACTGCACCCAATTATTCAAAAATAGATCATAGACGACGATTCACACGTATGTGCATGTGAATACGCAATTAATCACCGAAAACCCATCGACTCCAGGATTAATATCAGATGATAATTGAGCTGACCATTTGTGCCATAAACAACCACCACCGAGAGAAGAAAAACAAAAAATTAGAGCCCATAACTAGTGATCAATAATTTTATAACGACGCCGAATCACTCGATTGACATGTAAATGTGACACGAGACATTTATTTGTCATCGCAGAATTAAAAAAAAATCTATTTTACTTAATGCGTAGTTGTTGATATTACGAAACGCTCTTGCAATATCTGAATAGTAAAAAATCTGAGCAATGACACCTCGTGATTGTTAATGGGATCGTCGATTAATTTATACCCTTCGTTAAATTATTCATAATTTGTCCAATGAAAATGGCTATAAGAAAAAATGCAATTTGTTCATGGGAATCAATAAATGAAGTCTGAAACCGTGAAGATGATAATTATTTTGAAGAAAAAATGACTATAAGGATTTGAATGTCTTTTACACATACGAGAGAAGAGTTGAGAAATAATTGTAAATAATCAAGGATGGAAACAAAATGGATAACAATCGAGATGTTATTTATCTATTCAGAGAGAATACGAGAGATTTTTAAAATGAAATGAAAAATAATAATAATGTATTGGATAATTTCGTGACAATTTCGAATGTTTTTCCTATGATTTTGCATGCTTGATCGTTGCTGTCACTGGGTAATGCTATACGATACTGCATAAATAATGGAATAATAATGATAGAAAAAAAAATTAGTACTATATTGAGAATGAGAAGTAGAGGGTGATGTACTGATTGTCATAAATCACTTGGACTGAATTCGTTAAACGTGTAAATAATGCACATTGAATACTCGTCTTGCTCAACCACCTTTCATTATTTTCATGAAAATGGATTAATCATTGTTTTGAGTTCATTCAACGAGTGGCAAGGAGCGATAATAATAAAATGTGATATCCAACTAAAACCGCCAATTGATTAATAAGTGGATTAGCACTTGCGTGAATTAATTAGATACATTCGTTGTCGAATTCAATCCGATGATTGTAGACGTGAGTACCTCACCGACAATGTACCTAGATATATATTCTTAATATGTGAAGGGGAATGGAGGCGGTTATGATAATAATTATGAGGGAATTCAATTGTGTGGGGATTTGGGTTTGGAGGAAGGTGAAGCGCAATGAACATTCTTCAATCGGTGATATCTTATGAAATGATGATGCGATTTGAGCGAGTCAGGTGTCGTTTTAAGGATATCCAAAAAATTTCCTTATTTACTCTTATTTATTAACTTTTTTTCATTATTGGGAGTACTGATGAGAATAATAATACTCTATTTGTCTTATAATTCAATTGTTAGTCTAGGCAGATTACACCTTTTTTCATTCGACTGAAATTCAGTATCACATTTTTCTCTTTCCCAATCTGGGTCTCTTCTTGGGCCTTCCACTGGACTTTGGATTTTGTTGTTTCATTTTCTTTTCAATTAATACATTGACAAAATTTTCTCCCATTCTCATTGACTATGCATTAGTATGGTGTACTGATTTTTCCAACTTCCCATGATCTAATATATACTTGAAATAAACACGGAAATGAACAACAATACCGATAATAAAATAAGGTTTCCGAAAGTTTAAGCAATTTCAATCAGTCATTTATAAACAACGAATGTTTAAAAAATAATAATTCTGCGCGCAATGTAATTTGAGTGACGCTGAATATTCACCATTTAAAAAAAAAAATTTCCTCACGCAATCTAATTGGCAAATTTGATGATTAAATATTAAACTGCAGAAAATACTTGGATATCCTTAAATATCGTAAAAGTACCTTTGAAATGAAAAAAAAAAGTTGAATTTCGCTCTGAGATCCTCGAGTTATTGACGATTGAAGATTGTTCATTCTAGTTTAGCTCTTAATTTTGTATCTGAGAAGTGGTAAAACGTGATGGAAAATATCTGCTGAATTAGCGCCGCGATTTAACTGGGTGGCATGTCATATAGAATAATGCCAAGAGACTTTCTTGAAGCTGAGAAAATTTAGTACAAAAATATCCTTTGACACTATCTTGTAGAGACTTTCATTATCGAGATGATTTCAGGATTAATCAGGACTACAACCAAAAAATCAATGATTTATGATATATACTGTTCCGTTTTTCCACTTCGTCATCAAACCCAAAAATGATCTATTTGTCTCTCCTAGGATCTCCCCGCAAGAAAAAAATTCATGTGTGAATTCCTAAAAAAACTAGTGTTCCAAGACATTGAGTCACCAATTAAAAATGTCACGAATTAATTTACATTTCTCCATCATGTAATGATCAAACAATTACCAGCAACCATTGGAAGTCAATGAAATAACTTTTACGTGATCCCCAAAATGGAAAAAAAAATCCCAAAAAATGCCCTGGATGGACTCGAATCGGCAATCAACGATGTGATAGTCTGTGCAATGTTTTGAAACGAAAAAAAAATTCCAAAAGAGAAAAAACTCCATGCGAAATCTTCAATCGATCAACACGATTTGACACCAAACAGTCACGATGAATTTCTTTTTTCGTTGACGAAACCAAACGTGAGTGTTTGATGTCTGAATATTCACATTAAATATTGAAATTGATGCATAAATATCGGATAGATCCATATTTTCGACAAATATATGGATGTGTGCAGATATATTTACACCGATATTTAATATACGATACACGGAATATTTATTACAAAAATATTATTAAAAAACAATGATACCTATTGAAATTGTGTTGTCCCCCTGATTTGTATTGTGTAGATACGTTTAATAATAAATTCAAATATTATCTAAACAGTTATCCTCTTCATTTGTTTATTAATAATTGATTTACTGATGATTTCAAACGAATTCATCACGCACTCTTTAATAAATCGATTAGTTATCGTTTCTTGTATGTAAGATTTTTTCAAATTTAGGCTTTCGACGATTATTCAAAAATTAATCATCGAAATCTTTTCAATTATGGCTTACAATATTCATTTGGATATTATCTCGGTTGAGTTCGAAGATGGTGACGATCGCATCATTTACTTTGAAATTATAACCTTAAAAAGCATTTAATCGTGGTTTAGTTCGGATTTAGTCGGAGTTTAGCCAGGGTTTAATCAGGATTTAGTCGGAGGTCAGCCAGGGTTTAGTCGGGAATTAGTCGGAGGTTAATCAGGGTTTAACCAAGGTTTCATCATGATTTAATCAATGTTTAGTGGAAGTTTAAACCAGTTTAATTTTAATTTAGTCGGCGTCTATTAGAGTTTAACCATCAGGGCATATGGAGCTCATGTTAGACATTTGAGACATTTAGGGACCATATTAAGGTTTCATGGCTGGTATATCTCCTTCCCCAATTTACCATTCAGAAGCAAATTGCTAATTCATTAGCAAAAAAGTTATACTGGTCTTAAGTCCAGTTTAAGGAAAACTATTCAGGAGAAAAATAAAATTCAAATAATTTACTTACGACCGAGGAGCCATCAACATTGTATCAGGAGCATGAACTCTTGTGATATCAAATTTTACATTCATGTTGTTTTCACTCACTCTGTCTAGTTAACAATAAATTCAGTTCACTGAAAAAACTTATCTCAAATTGCCTTTAAAAAAAAGCTATTGAATTTTCCTGAGGTTAAACTTTAGGAAGGATCCCTACTAATTTGAAATTAATGACAGAAAACCGAATATGCACTTTCTTGTTTTAATTCGGTTAATTCATTCGGAAGCAAATTGCACTTATTTAAATCAAAAACTCCCCTTAAATCACAAAAAAAATGTTTAACCCTCAAAACACTAATTGTGATCACTTTTCATAATCCCCCGGCTCTCGCGACATTTATCAACTGTTGGTCATACAAAAATGCGCAGAAGAATGCATTTACAATTTAGCATTTGTCGAAACTCGAAAAACGAAAATTCAAGATGGCCTCAGCAATGGACATTGACGACGAGGAAATTGATTTGCCCACTTCAAGCAGTGGAAGAGGCGATAAAAAACGGTTTGAAGTTAAAAAGGTGAGATTATTATTCGATAATTAAAAAGTTGAATTAATCATTCAGGCGAATATGAGGGTTTTATAAAGGGGACAGGGCATAACCTCACAATGTCGCTATTCGCTTTGTCACGATTTTGTTTTGATGAGTGATAAGGATCATCGATGACTTTCTGGATTAATTAGATTATTAATTTTTGATTTATGTTTAATGGGGATTTTTCGTAATTTCAGTGGAATGCTGTGGCTCTCTGGGCATGGGGTACGTTGATTCGATTTTTAATGGAACATGTTTGAGAGAAAAAAGTGAAAATTTTGGGACGAAAATGGGAAATTCGTGGAATTGAACGATTTAATGATTTAATTACCTTGCAGACATCGTCGTGGACAATTGTGCCATCTGCAGGAATCACATAATGGACCTTTGCATCGAGTGTCAGGCGAATCAAGCGTCAGCAACCAGTGAAGAGTGCACAGTTGCTTGGGGTGTCTGTAATGTGAGAATTTTTATTTGTTAATTTTGTTTGAATTCAAGTGGAGTGATTTCATGGTATTTAATGTGTCTGTTTTGGTTCTAGCATGCATTCCATTTCCATTGCATTTCTCGCTGGCTCAAGACTCGACAGGTGTGTCCATTGGATAATCGTGAGTGGGAGTTCCAGAAGTAAGTATAAATTTTTAAACTTTTTCTGAATTTTGAATTTATAATTGCCTTTCCTTCATTCATTAGAATTAGATTTTTCTACACATCTCATTCTGTTGAGATATTTTCTATTGAATTTCATCGGTTCAAATCTTCCAAGTTTTTTGTTTGATTTTTTAATGAAAAAAACAGAAAGATAGAATGAACAAAAATAATGAAAAAAATTGACCTGTATTGAAAAATCTTAGACAGTGAGACTACAACAGTCAGTGTCAATTGCAAAATCTGAAGAACCGCTGAGGTGATGTTGCTCAGAATTTAATCAGTTTTAAGTTACATGGAAATACATCCATTGCGTGAAAAAAAATTGAATCGCATCGTTTGTTTGAGAGAAATCGGAGCACAAAATTTTGGTCACATCCACGCACACACATACCGGTCTCTAAAAAATGTCGGGAGAGTTTCTAGGGGTCACGAAACCTGGAGAAATGAAATTTCCACAATCACTGCCTCCCTTCGGGTCGGGAAGTTAAAAAAAAAAACAAACGAAGCAAAATATTAAATTTGCGGCGTTTCTCCCATAGGATGACCAATCTAGGGTCAATAGAGGATGCAGATTCGATTTTTCATTTTACCACTTGCTAATGTTTTTTATGCTGTTATTAATTCATGTTCAACTCTTTTTGCTTCAGATATGGACATTAACCTGCCTTCATCAACTAGAAATGACGTTGGAACTAACCGGAGGATTTCGTTTTCACCTATTAAAATTCAAAAATCAACATTGCAAAAGGATGGTAGCAAAATATTCCCGAGAAAATCCCTCCAAGGACATTACTCATACTTGTTACTTCAATCCGAGGTCCCAATTTTCAGCTTTAACTGGCTAAATTATCTCTAAATTATCTTTTCTATTGTATCAGCCCCTCCAAAATCCCAACAGTTTCGATCGAGTGACTTCGGGGTTGTCACTAAAATAGATGTAAGACTTGAATAAAGAAAAGTGTTTATTAATTTCTGGTCTTCTGTTCAATGGCATTACCAACGAGACGTTAATACCATCGACAATTAGAGAACCTCAAGAAAGAAAAAGGGTAACACGCTTCTAAACCTCAAACGAAAAGAAAACGACAATTTCTCCATCAGCGACACTTGTATTGTTTACATCTGATCTGCCGCCAATTTATTCTTGGTGCATTATCCGTCGATAAATTATCCGATATTTCATGTGTTTACAATTTCGGATGATAAACAGTAAGTAGCGAGGGTACTTACTGTTACCCGAGAATCCTCTCTTTTCGATTCCAATGATATTCACTTCTTCACAATGTTTTCCCATTTGTATTATCACCGATAGCGGGAAGGGGCTATTTGTACAGTTTCAGATGGTCACATTCCGTTTTGGACACGTTCTAGGGAAAATGGCGGCAGTACGGAATATGGGCACGGAAATTTGTGGACAAATTCCCGGATGGGGAGATTCTGACAAGGTGGTTAAAAACAGAGATATAATACCTAGCGCGTTCGTCGACTCCCGAGCTTACGGAAATTCGGAGAGACATAGCCTGCGTAGCGGTCCAGTCTCTCTCTTTGTCTGCAGAAAGCGTTGTGGGAGAGCAGAAGGCAATGTAGAGGGGGAAATACTGAACATGGCCGCACGCACGGTGGTCTGATGACAAAAGACGTGCGCGAGCATCCCCCTCTCTCTGGGCAGCGTTCCCCTACCACGACGCCATCTATCCCCACCACCATAGCTCGGTCTCTGTCATTTAGAGAGATCGAGATACTCCCTTACATAGGCTGTGTCTTTTGCACAGTACAGTCTATCTATGGTGCTTGCCTCTTCTAGAGTGAGAGAATATAACCACATTGAACAGAAGAAGTACAGTCTATCTCTGTACGGGATCCGTAGCGCGTATACTGTGGGTAAGATACGGAACGTGCGCTCTATGTATTGGGGACGCTATAAATCGCTGCGATGTCTGGTGGGTATCGCCTGCACTAAGAAAAATGGCCGTCCGATGGTTTATCGTTGGTACTTCAATCAATTACTTTGCAAATCCTCAAGTTTTTCTAAAATATGACACCATCGGAACTTCGAGTACAACAATAAAAAACAATACAGAAATGAATGAGTCGAAGAGGAACTACTACTGTCAGCTCCAATGGGAGGGTTTGAACAAGTTTGAACGGGTAAACCATCGGTCGTCCATGTATGGGGGCGATCACCACGCCGCCATCGGTAAATAGCGGTCCCAATTATATCTCTATGTTTTGGTCACGTTCTAGGGAAAATGGCGGCAGTACGGAAGACGGTGAAACAGATGGGCACGGAAATTTGTGGACAAATTCCCGGATCGGGAGATTCTGACAAGGGGGTTAAAAAGGGCTCAGTAAATGTCTCACTGTCGATGTGTTTAGTGCAGTGGCACAGTGTAAGATGGCGGCATTACTCTCTTTCAAGCGGAATTACTAACTGAATCGAACTGGCCATCGGACCAGTGGAGAAGTAAAAGAGCAATTAGCAACGAGAAAAAGGTTTTCAACGATGCATTCAGAAATGACGGCGATCTTTTGAAAGGTAATTATCAATTTTGGGAGAATCTTTTGCGCACACTCGAAGGCAAAATGTCGAAATGAAAAATCTTCATTTCCACCAGGAGCCAAAGTGTCAGATCTTGGATTTTTCCAGAGGGAAAGTCGACTTTCGGCAAAATCCAATTTTTTCGCCGAGTGAATGTTGATTCTGTATTTTCTCATGCATTTATTCATATTTTTGGAGATTTCATGGTTAAGAACTGTATTGTGTAAACATCGCGAAAAACAGTTTTCACTCCCTTACTACTCTCAAGTACGTTTCCGAGGGGGTTGGTAATTTTTAAGGGGAACAAGGGAGCCCTGAAGAACATGCTCCAATAGAAATTTTTTTTTTTTACTTTTCAGGTTGAAAAAAAAATTTTTTTTTCTTCAAATCGCAAAAAAATAGCTTTTTACCCTTCTACTAGTAGCCCCCTAGTAATTAGATAAAAACATGAAAATAATTGGAAAAATGAATTAATTAATCACAAATGATGGAATATAATTAATTGATAATGATGATCAACAACAGTTTTCCGAGGAATATTAGGGGAGGGTGGGATAAAATGGACCATTTAGACTTTTTAAAAATTATTCATAAGTCAGCAACAAATTTATCAATTGAGCTCAGGTTAGGCTCATCACAAAGGGAAAGAATTGTTCTTTGTATTGAAAGAAAAAGTTATTAAATTTTATGAACATTTCAAGCCCTCATTAACATTTAAAAAAAAGTCACAAGTGTCCGTTTTACCCCAATCTCCCCTGCCGTTTATTTTGATAAATCATCAACGTTAAAGCGTGATAAACAAAAATGATTAAGAGAAATGCGTTAATTAATTAATAAAGAGGAATACAAGCGATTTTACGCTGCGATTGAAGTTTATTTCGCTTTTTACGAGTTCTAGAGCGTTATAAAAATTTAAAAAAAATTCCCGGCGAAAATTTAAATTTCTTTCATGGCTGACATTTTGGTGATTTCACAAGATGGCGCCTGTTGTGAATTCCGAACAAATGGTTGGCTTATTTCGTTACCGGTAGCAACAGCGCCAAGCCGACAGCCTCGCGTCATTCGCAGGCTCCTTGCCATGTAAATAACAAAGGAGTTTTGAAATTCTGGGTTTCTCGGTGAGATGTGATGAGTTTAATCACTGAATTCGATTCAAGAGTGATTAGACAATTAGTTAGGGAAATGGCACGTCTAGCTACTCTTTACGATGTGTCTGGGGTTGTGAATGACGTTCTCCCACCGAATAAAGCTGTTATCGGTTTTTTACACGAGGGCAAATTGAACAGCGCTTTGTTGACCAATTCACAGTTTTATTATGAAGGAAAACATATTCCAGCTAATCGAGTTTTGAGTGATTATTTGCGAGCTGGGGTTACGGTAAGTTGATTTTGAATAATTATTTTTGTAAGACATCTTCATAACTAAGTATGTTGACAATTGTCATGGGTAGAAATTACTGTGCGGAGAACATTTTTTAGGGTTGGATCTGTTCTGCAAAAGTGGTATTTGAGAAAATTTTTATTTTTTTCAGACATTCAGGGGTATTCATCAATAACTGAGCAATGTTTGACATAAGAAAATGTTGATTTCCAAGAATTAATTAATTCCCATAGAATTATATTAATTAAAATGAAAAACAACTTTGTTAACAGAATATGGGGAACTATTAAGAGTTGAGTCTTTTTAAAAATGCGACGAGAATTATGACAGATACCGAAATCTTTGAGAAGACCACTCTTGTGGCTGCTATCCCTCTCTACAAAAATGATCTTTATGAATTTTTTTTCATCTCCTATAGATAAGAAGATATCCATCAAAATAAAAAAAATCGTGTTGCGAAATGTCGAATAATTTGAAGATTCTGTTTATCTTCAGGAGTGAATATCTCAGGAACTGTTTTACATAGCGAAATTTTTGTGAAGATCATTTTTGTGAACCCTATTCGTCTCTTTAGAAATGGTTATTATCAAAATTCGTCTATCTCATACAGATTCAAAGATATGTATCAAAAACCAAAAGTCCCTGTTCTCACAAAACGCAGAATAATTTGAACATGAACTCCGTCTCCATAAAAAGTTCTTTATTTTCAGGTAAAATTTTCATGTGAAACATCTCAAGAGACGAAAAAGGATACCCCGTGTCGCTGGGTCATCACCACCTGTTGGTGTGTCGACAAGAATCCCCTGAATCGTGTCACAATAACAAGAGGGGTTGACGATGTACTTGGAAAAGTGAAGAAACTGGGAGGACGTCATGGGATAATATCAGTGTTTGATGGCACCAAGTACACGCATGATATTTTGTTCCTCGCCAGCAGATTCTACGTCGATGGGAAGAGGTTTCCAGCGGGGAAGACACTCACTGCTGGGCTCCACGAGGGTGAATCTGTCTTTGTTGACGCTATTCCTTGCATTCCTGAGGAGAATGATGAATGTTGCAGTTGGTTTGCCACCTGCGTATTCAAGGGCCGAAGACCCAAAATTATTCATGATAATGGGCATGATAATGGACATAAGGTGCATCGAGGGGAGATTGGACATCAGGTGGAGGAGACTGATAGCTTTAGGAGTCAATATCTGGAGTTTGTTAATCTGGTAATTGATGTTTACTTCGTTATTCCCAGTTTTAATATCTGATTCTTGACGTTTTTAGTCAAATGAGATTAGAATTGCAAAAATTATTGAATAAAAATCCTCAATTTTTTAAGAGCTGATTTTTTTAGCAATGGAATTGATTTGAAAAATTATTTAGTGCGTTAAAATGGTGTTTAATGAAGTGTATTTTGATTTCTTCAGTTCAATCGCCTGCTTTTTGATATTCTCATTCAAATAACAATTGAATTGCAAAATTCCTGAATAAAAATCCTCATTTTTTCAAGAACAGAATTTTTTTATCAATAGAATTGATTTTAAAAAATTATTTAGGGTTCTCAAATCATACTGGATTCATTGTATTTTCATTTTTCAGTATGTGTACAACCCTCACACTGTGTACGTCACAGGTGCAGGAACTATTCTCAGAATATTGGACGAAGAGTTTGGGATTATCATAGGAGAGTTTAAGAAGAATGTTTTTCAAACTGTCTTATTTCATCGTAAACATTTCTTCATGTTTGGAACTAATCTTGTGCCTTATGACATTCGTGCATTGCTTTATGAAGGTAAATTATCATTTTTCATAAATTCGTAAATAAACCTCACATTGTTAAAAAATTAATTAGGTTTCTGCTGATTTTCAGAGGATCGAGTGAAATTTGTGGTTGTGGGAGCACCCCCTGGCTTCGCCACAGAATGGATAGCTGTTCAGGTTTCTATCCAGAGAAATTCTGACGCTTAAAAGTATTACAACACCGAATTCTGTCCACAGTGCCAAGTGTTTCATCAAGTGTTCATTATTCTAATAATATTTATGTTCTCTAAATATTACAAACTTTAAGTGAGATTATTATTACTGAACGACTGTTCAAGCCACTGGCTCAAAGAATAAAGTTTAATAATTGATTACAAAGCTGGATTTGAATCACAAACCCTGAGGTTTCTTCACAGTTGACCCCAATGTAAGACAGAACATTACCCAAAATTCTCCGATGAAGCAATTCAGAATCCGTGAAATTTAAATTTGCACGACTCGACGAGCATTCGATGAATTTTATTGTTTTTTGTTACAGAAACATTTCATGCGTTGAATTCTTCCACTGGGTAAGTGGAGTCATGGTGAACACAAGGTTTACGAGGTTCGTATGTGTTTCTTAACTGCGGTAAATTAAGCAATTCGGATGCCGACCCAATACCCAAGCCACACCGTAGAATTTTTCGCAGGCAGAGTGCACTGACAGTTGTCGGCTTCAGTCTTTACCTTCATCGGTGAGTACATTTTTTAAAAGTTTCGACGTGGGCGGGCGATAATTATCGTCAAGCCTTTTTATGGATTTTGCGATTTTTTTTCCGTTTTTTTTTTTCATTGACGATGGAAATTTTATTTTTGCTTCCGAGGGGAAGCATTGCAGGCGGTTTTGAGGGAATTTGAATTTATGATTTTTTGTGTCATTAACTCGTTATTATCTGGAAAGTATGGAAAAGACGACAAGTAATCGATAGAAAATACGAGAAGACAATTAATCGATTTTTGTTTAATTTTTACAACAAATGAATTTAACCCATTGAGTGATCAGGTAATACGCGAAGAAAGAAATTAGATAAAAATCATCTAGAAAATCGTGGCAAATTTTACAATACGAGAAGTAATCGCAGAGCGAAATGTATAGTTAATAGTTTACGATTCGTTCGGCCCTGAATAATTTCAATTTGATACTGAATAAATTCAACGAAATTCCAAATTTTTGACCAGCATATGGGGATTCCCCGACTTAATTGAATTTTCAATCAGAAGATAAACACTCAGGATCAAATTACACCGACCAAGACATTGACCTGAATTTACCTAATTTTCCATTGATTAAACGCTACGGAAATTAATTGAAATTTCCGTGGCACTTCAAGTTTTCAGCATAACTCCCCAATCAAAGCAAATTACCGATACTTAAATTTCTAAAAATTTTCCTGCCGACAGCCGTCAATTTTCTCTTTACGATCACCTCAAGTAGATAATAAAATAAATTCTCCCCATTCGAGCAACCCCCCAGACCGATAATCCCCCATTATTTAGGAAAAGACCTCGAGCAAAAATATCCCAACAACACAAACATCATTGGTAGACCGGTTGACCCATGTTGTTTTACTACCATATAGGGAGAGTCTCGGCTAATAGGAAGTATATCCTTGCCGAGGCGCCCGTCGTCTCTGCGGGCGATTCCGCGGCACCCAATACGCCTTGTCCCGTGCACCTTTCGGCCTCCGGTAAAAAACATTTAACGAAAAGAAAGAAAAAATCGGAGAAAAAAAAATAACCCCCTCACCATCTAGGGGAGTCTAAAAGACCGTGGCAAATATCAGTGCGACACGCCAGGGCTCGCAGACGCATTTAGCGCTCGGTTCATGGCCTCCCCCTAAAAAAAGTGATACTGTAACGTGAAACTCGTCGCCAAAATTGTACCCTGTCATTATTTTTATTTGATTTCACGTGACTCTTTGTTTTTTGCTCCACTGGAGCTGATGCATTTCATGCCTTTGATGGATTTATTTGCACATTGGAGAATGGATTTTTTTTTTATTCATGATGGTCGACTGACCCAGTAGTTGCTTCCTCTTATGACGACCTCAGCGGGAATGATCGTTTGATGTGGGGCCTTGGCCATCTAGGGAAGTCCTAAGGACCAGAACCACATCTCCTTGTACTCACTTGGGTGTTAAACCTGGGGTTCATGGACTCGGTGATGAGGCGGCCGGCGACGGTGGTCCTCCAATTAGTCATGGTGCTTGGGCACGCGGCGCGAGGACATTTTCCATAACGGATCTGGTGTTATTGATATAATTCCAGACACTGCTTCTTCAGTATTATTAACTTTCCGACCCGGAGGGAGGAAGCTATTGGAAAGATCCCGAAAATCGATTGTGTAAATTTCATGATTTCTTCACGTTTTATCACCTCTAGAAATTCTCGCGACACTTTTTAGAAACCAGCCGGTATGTGTGGATGTGTGTGGGTACGTGACCAAAATTGATAACAATACCCTCTTGATTCCATTAGAATATGATGGGGATCCCACAATTCGTTGCTGAGTTACAGCACATTATTCATGCGATTTAAAGGAGAAAATAGGTTTTTTCATGATTACTGACAGAATTCAGTAGCGAAGTGGTCGAATGGTTTAAGTCGATTTTGGCTATTGGCCAGTTTTCAATGAGTATCTCGAAATCTAAGGGAGATAGCAAAATTTTTCTCATAGCCTTTTTAGTAGCACTCAATTCGCTCTACAAAAAAGGTTATCATGAAAATTTCGCTATCGATTAAAAAATATTCGCTAATTGATTATAAAACAATTTTTTGATACTTTCAAAATGTCAAAAAATAGTGAAATAAGAAAGTATAAAAACAGTTCGAAAGTATCGAATAATTGTTTGATACTTTCAGAATTTCACTTTGGGAACAAAATTCCTCAATTTCCCCATTTCCTTAAATTTTTTCTTCTCGTGATGAAGACACATCGTCCCATCGATTTATTTCCCTCAATCGCGAGCCACCGAATGCGAAACACCTCATAAAATCACAAATAAAGCAATTGGGCGTGCCTCGTAGCCCGAAATTTCGTCACTGAGACGTGAAAAAATGCGCCACTTGATGTCTTTTTGACAAAGACCCGGCGCTTGAGGCTAAATCGCCCAATCGATTTCCTTCAACATGAGAGATGGCACATTAAATGCGCTCCAAATTGCCTACACGCCAGAAGAAACAAGACCCCTGAATTTTTTTTATTCTCAAATGAGAGCACGACAGGAGGAGATTCAGTGCATAAACACGCAATAAAAATGTCTCTGCACGTGCGAATCGGAGCGCCGTTTGAGTGTTGTCACGCGGGTATGCATAATGCATTGGTTTACGGTGGTATTGCTGGGCTTGTCACGGTGTCATGAGAGTCAAAATGAATGAAAAAAAGCACTGGGGTACCCTTTAATGTCCTGCAGTGACACAAGTGCGATTAACACAAGAACCCTATTCACTCAATAATGCCACTGAAATCATTACATTTGAATATTCAAGCTAGAAGTGATTAAGAATCACTTTTCAGACAATTTTTCCAAGGTTTATCGGGGTGGGAGATTATGGGTTGTGACAGTAATTGAGGAAGTTTCGAGGGATTTGATGTAAATGGTTTGTCACTCGTGTTGGAAAAAATTGTTGACTTGATGTTGGATATTTTGCTTATCGGGAATTTAAATTTTTAATTTTTTAAAAAATGGAGAAAAAAGACCACATACATACAAACATAGAGACACCATCTAAAAATCGCATATTCCGACTTGTCAGACCATATTTAGTTACCCTAGCACAAAAAATTGGAAACCGAAATTGGAGCGGTCACAAAGCTTCCATGCGGAAGCAAACATAATAAAAATCCGGAAAATTAATTGAAAATTAATCAATTGCTTTTGGAATTCAAATAAATTACGGAATTCTCGATTTTTGGCAGCTCAAAAATTAAAAACTCCATCACAATTTCAGTGAAATTGGAAGCTTCATGATTCTTTCCCCCCTAAATCGAATTGTATATTACTCTCCTAAAAATTACTACTAAATTTTACCCAAAAATAGCGCCATCTCCCTTCGATCTCGAATACATTAATCGAAAACTCACGTTAAAGTTTAATCAACTTATCACTTCGTCATTGAAGTCACCGTATTATCAAATCCTCAACCTTGACGATTAGAAATTTTTTCTTCAATGATGGAATCGACTGGTGGCGCCGAATATCAATGACACAAGATCCTCCACTTTGTTCTATTTCAAAGGTAAAAGCATGAGTCAACGCACTGTCTCTTTACTCACACACATGCGAATTATGAAAGGATAAGTGCACGCGTTAGATGCGTAGGCAAGCACCGAGTTTACGATGGGCGTTATGCTTTGAATTTTGCACCCACTGGACTGTCCATTAACCTCATGTGCTCTATATAAATACAACACTTTTTCGTCATTGTGCGTAGCTAAATGCAATGAAGTCATAAAATGGTTTCGTGTGCGCTATCCACGGTTATTCAACTACTTCGTGACATCATGTTAAACCCTCTTTCTCGGTTAATCGTGAAGTGTTGAATGGAGTGATTGAGATAGGGAGGAATTACGAGATTTAATGAATAAATTAGTGAGAAAAATTGAATTAGGGTGATTAAATTGGATTGAATGAAATTGAATTAAAGAATAGAAACGTTTTTCTTCTATACATTTCATGCTTTAGACGAATTATGACATTTTCTCCCAAATTTTTGCTGAGGAAAAATTCTCTTTTTTTTTAATGATGAAAAAAAAATTAATTCAATTGGAATTAATTACATTAAGTTAAGGAATAGAAAGATTGTTTTTTCCAATTCATCTAGGACTTTAGACGAAACGTGAGATTACTTCATTTCAGAAAAAAATTAGTGTAGTTTAGAAGAACTGATGAATAAAAAGTTTCCAATTTTTTTAAAGAAAACTGTTGAATTGAATTTTTTCTGTTCAATTCAATTGGTCGGAATCAAATTGAATTATAGAATAGAAGACATGTTTTTCTCCCGTTCATTTAGGGCTTCCGACAGGAGCCCTGAGATTCTCTCGTGCCAAGAGAATTTTGGAACGAATTCAGCAATAAATTCTCAAGTTTCGCTGATTCCACTGATTTATTCAGAAAAAAATGGTGCAATTTAGCAGAATTGATGGAAAAACATCGCTAAATTTTTATTTTGAATAAAAAATTGGGTCAACCGGTGCCGTAAAATAGTTTCACTCAACCTAATTTATTTTTTTCAATCTCACTACGTTTGTTCATGAATTTTGTGGTCATAAAATAGAATAAGAAGGAGGTATTCAGTCCCACCGAT